TGGTGGCCTACTTGCCAGCCTTTGAAGCTTCCCTGAGGCATCAAGAAAGCCTCTGTGAGAAACACGATGCTAGGCTTAACCAGCCTTTGCTTTGATCCAGCACAGCTACTCTTTGTCTTGTCGTTTCCACAAGAAAACGGAGGCTGACAAATGTACTCCGGATGAAAAAAATAGGGAGAGGAAAGTAATTCCTGCTGTCCCCACATTCCGTCCTGGAAAACCTCAAGCAATTCTTGGCCCATTCTTCAAAACAAAAGAGAAACAAAATTATTTTCCACATGGAGAAAACCATGCTTATATCAGTCTGCTATATAATCATTTATCATCTCATTAAAAGAAGCATGGCCTTTCTCAATGAGGGGTAAAGTGGTTGAATAGTCCAAGATTCAAATGTAGAATTCCGTAACTGCCTTCTTTGTACCTGATCTTGTTCTCCTGTACCACCAGGAAGAGATGAAGGAATACTTGTCGTTAGCATCTTCACAGACCCTGCGGGACAGACCAAGGGGGTGGGAAGCCATTCGCATAAGCTTCTCTCACAGTGAGGTCATGAAATGAAGAAATGCAAGTTAAAAACAAAACTCCAGAGCAGTGGGCTTCCAGATGTTCTTAAGACTTCAACTCCCAGAAATCTTGGCCAGCAGAGGTGGTGGTGAAGGCTTCTAGAGCAGGGATCCTCACCCCCGGTCCTCTGCCCATCTGTGCATGCGCACGAGTTTGCCCCACCCACCTGCGCACAGAGCCTGCCCCCCAACTGGTCCATGGTTCAGAAAAGGTTGGGAAACACTGCTTAGTCTAGAGGAGTCATATCCCAGTGAAAGACACAGATTCCCACATAATAAATGGTGCCCCTTCAGGGAAGTGTGAGAAAATACCAAACTCCTAAACTGGGTACTGTGCCAATTTCAGAATTTAAAAAATATTATCAATTTCTCCTGCATATAGAATAATTTTTTTATTTACTCCCCAAATTCAAAGGAGCCTGGAGACCACCCATGGAGAAACACCTAGCACACCAAACACACTATTCTCCACACTTTTCAAAGAAACACAAAGAAATGAAGGATGTTGTTACGTTCACCCCATGCCCCTGTTTCTTTTTCTCAACCCAAAGAGTTCACGCTGGTGACATTCCCTCTATCTTTCACTGCCACTGATAGGGGGCAAGGATGAGGTTTTGAACTTTATAATTTAAGACAACACATGCTATTTGATTCATATCTACTTAGCATTCATAATCAGCATTTTACACAAGTGGTCATGCCTTGTAGCTGTACAGTGTTGCCCCGCATAGCGACAATAATCCGTTCCGGAAAAATCATCGCTATCTGGAATCGTCGCTATCCGAAACAAAAAAGTCCATAGGAATGCATTGAAACCCCTTCAATGTGTTCCTATGGGCTTAAAACTCACCATTATGCGAAAATCCCCCATCCGGCCACCATTTTCACTGCCGTTATAAAGTACTTTACCAATAAAACTTATAAAACTTACAAATAAAACAATAAAACTTATAAAGTGCTTTACCAATGTATGGTGAGGACTCCCGATCCGCCTTTTAGGATGGGGTCCAGCTATATGTTTAATAAAACTGACTCACATATAGACTGATTGATGCACTGTCTTTATCTGTTATTCCCTGCCGGAGAATTGAAACCTAAAATTGGGTACTAACACCACCAGTGGATTTCTTTATCCACACTGTAAAGGGCTATAGTCTGACACTGGCTGCCAACAACAGAACTTGTTTATTAAAGGGTATTGGGGAAATTAGGGTAATTCAGGCTCACAGATGTTCTTTATTAATTTCATAGAATCAAAATCATTGAAATATCATATATTCTGCCAGACATGCAATCACCTCCTGTTTTATTTATTCACTTTAACCAGCTTATCCTTATTAGTTTCAGTTCTCACTCTTTCTCTGACTATCTCACTCTCTCTGCAAACCTCTCTCCTCCTCCTCTTCTCACTCACTCTCTCTCTCTCTCTCTAACTGACTTAACTGACTCTCTGTCTCCGCCCCTCCTGTCCTCTCATAGGCTCATGCAAATGAACTCCAGTTACAGGAGTGAATGAACTAAGAGGTAAAGGCGTGACATGGGGCATCCGTCACAGATGTTTTCACCTTCTTTGACTCCACATTATAGAAAATCTGGGGGCCGCTCCTTGTTTGCCTGCTCTGAAGCCACTGCCTTTACGTGGGGATGATGCTCCCTCAGGTTCCCCTTCCACCTCTCCAACCCAGGATTCCTACGTTCCTCTTAATATTTAAGCTAAAGTCTTTAAACATTAGAGGCACTTTGTGGTTTATTTAAGTTATTTCTTACAGTAAATTTTTTGTACTCATGTCACAAAAGAGGAAAGAAACAGAATTTTTAATTTATTTTTATTTTAAATTACAATCAGAAATTTTTGCATAAAATGTGCCTGATGACGGCATATGAGATATGCGGAAACAAAAACATTTCTAAAGAATTAGAAAAGGGGATGTGATGCCAAAGCATTTTAAGATCCATTGGGGCTAGTCTGAGGGGCAGTGACTCCGGTGGTCTCCTTCTGGTCCCCGATGAACCATGGTACTGACTGGGTGATGTGGAACCATCCAATCTCCCCTCAGCCTAATCTCCCTCACAAAGTAATTCTAATAAGGATAAGCTGATAAGGAAGGCAGCTGTGAGCATCTCAGAAGAAATGTGGGACATCATGATAACCAACCCACAAACAAGCACCCATAGTTGAATCAAGTTCTCTCCTGAAATTTGTACTTTGGAGGGTTTTTTCAGATGCAATAAAAGTGAATCTTTTCATAATTGGCCTCCTTCAGAAAAACAGAAGAACCGCTAGCTATGTGAAAAATCTAGGAAAAATGAAAACACTGGTTTGACGTATAGAAGGAACTACAGACTAGTGTCCCTCTAGCCTAAAAGGTACGGGTAAGGGGAGGGGATATGCAGAGAGAAACACAAACACAAACTCTCCCAACATGAATCCTTACCTACTGAACTGGAACGTTCCTCATTGCCTTGATGGCTTTCTTGTCCTTGAGGTCTTTTTCCTGTGTTAAAAGGAGGTTTCTCTGCTTCATGGAAATCCAACTGGATTTCTACCAAGGGATTTCTCCTCTGAGGATCCATTAGGTGGAATAAGAAGACAGAAAAGACAGAGACAAAGATCTCTGTGGATTAGGCTGGGACTTGGAAGGTACGTCAGTCACATCATGCTCAAATTGTTGCAAGAAAAACATCTGGAAGTGGTAGAAATTTGGGATTTCAGTTTATCCACTCTTTTGCATAGTGAAGGACAAGATAGAGGACTGGACCCCATCCTACCACTGCACACCCCAAACTGCTGAACTAGATGCTGTGCCGATACATGAAGTAAACCTGCCATTTCCTCAGAAAACTGGGCACACTGAGAGCGGGTGTGTGTGTGCACACACCCTGTTTTAAACTGGAAGAAGGACTCTCTGATGTAAGAAACGGTGATTTGATTTCAAATATGATGCATACGGACCACACATCTTGCCTTCAAGGTCCCTAAGGGAGGGCGGGGGGAGCCAATTCTAGCAGAACAGCCATCAAACAGACAGGCAGAGGCTGTGGGCTCTCCCACTTCTTATTTTAACATTAATGTTTAATGTGGTCAACATTAATTTTTCTCACCTTCTGCTCTTCCTGCTTTTTCTCTTCTGCCTGACTCAGACTCAGGAAAGCTTCTGCCAGGGCCACCGCCTGCGAAGTGGTCTCTGCTCCACATTCTCTCACCCAGCACGACATCTCCAGGGGGAGGATGGTCAGGAGCTGCTCCAAGATGACCAGGTCCAGGATTTGAGCCTTTGTGTGTTGCTCTGGCTTGAGCCACTGGCGACAAAGATGGTGGAGCCAAGTGCAAATCTCTCGAGGACTATCAGCCCCCTCATAGGAAAATTTCCTGAATTTCTGGCACTGCGTATCTGAGCTGAGCATCTCCTCACCTCGTACCTTCTGTGCTGTTCCTTCCCAGAAGGTCCCAAGACCTCCTGCCTTGAGAACATCAGGGTCTCTTCCTTCCCTGGGGCCAGATGTGTGTTGGGCTGCCATTTTATTCTGTACCAACGTCTCCAACGGAGTCCTGAAACCCTTTTCTTTCTGTGGAGGAAAGACTCCCTTAAGAGACCAGACTGTGGAAGATCTGCAAAGCCAAGACCCTGCCGTGTTAAAAAGGCAAAAAAGGCAAGACTGCCGCTGCCAATCAAACCTCATCACCAAATATAAAAGGCAGGAGAATCCGAAGGCTGAGGTGAGAGACAGGCATGTGGGGCTCTTCCTTCACTGGACAGTCACTGACCAAAGTACTTCAGTCCCTCAGAGGGTCAGACGTGGAAGCATCTGCCACCCGGATGGATCTTTTCAAATTACTTCAAAGAATAACAAAACAATTTTGTAACACTATTCCTAAACGTTGTCAGGTACAGTTCCACGGCAGATGGGCGTCTTATTCCTAACTTTCTAGAACAGGAAAGTTCAGCACAGGACAGAACCCTGATTCTAGAAATATTGTCATTAGCTAATACTTCTGAATTCCCACTTTTCATGGGCCCAGGGGTAAAGCTTAGTAAGAGGATCACAGCAGTCAGCAGATGATGGATTGGTGGTTGTTGAACCAGTGATGTTTGCCAACCATCCTTTCTGAGGCTCCTGGCCGTTCTCTTCTTGGGTTTACAGAGCTGCAGGTCCCCCCTCTGCCCTCCCCTGCAGCCCACAAAGGAAAGCCTCTGCCC